TAGGGGTGTGTGTGCGTGCGCGCGCACGCATTCCCCAGTCAATTTATACAGCTGCCCATCTTGCAAAATTGACTCTGTGTGACTAATATAAAATTAAAACTTGACACATATGTTTAATCTTCCTTTGCAGAAAATTGTCGCCTTTTCAGAAAATATGGTGTTGATATGTGGTGTTAATTTTTTCCCCATTCAAGGAACTTAGAACTCAACCTCAAAAAATGTGATTCAGTGGCCAGATACAGCCTCCAGGTTTTTTCTTTTTTTAATGCCTCCCCAAGTCCCCTAGGGAAGGTTGGGCCAAAACATTCAGCTTTTGGGGGGATTTTTAAAGCTCTTTGAAACCTCTGCCATCTCCCCCCAAATATGGCTGCTGACCCCATCACCTTTTGTATTTTGGCAAGGTATGTAATATGAATTAATTCTGAATCATTGCTTTCTAAACTGGGCACACCTTACAATTAAAAAAAGAAAAAGAGTGAAGCCATAAATATGAGGTGGTTGCCCCTTTTACGGGCTTTAGAAGTGGAACCCTTTTTGCTGAAGAGCATCCAAACCTCGTGGCTATTTGGGGGCTGGTCCTGGCAGGAGGTGCATCTTTCTTGCTTCAAAGCAACAGGATCATGGGAAGAGCCCTCTCCGGCAAATTATCCTGCAAAGCTTTTCCTGTAACAATCTGTGTTCAGCTTTCCCTATTCCTAGGAACTTCCCACATATTTGGGGAACGGCAGCCTGGATTCAGATGGAAAGGCTCCATTCCAGCTTGACCCAAAGGAGGAACTCTATCGTTATCAAACCTGCTGGAGAAAAATCTGTAAGAGGGACCTGGTGAATTTCCATCCCATTTGAGGCTTACAGGTTTCCTCTCAAGCTGAGGTTCGTTTTGTCTACTCCAGCAGGACACTGGAGTGCTTCAGTCTGCAAACCCTTTATGATGGGCTTGCAAAGCCAGGTCAAGCACACGTGGACATGTTCAGTAACATTCCATGGGCAAGATGGGAAACAAGGTAAATAATCAAGCAACAAGGAAATACAACCAGGAAATAATGTGTAAATGTAGTTACAAATTAATTATAGAAAGACAAAATTGAAAAAAGACCCAAGTTGCTACATTGTACCCTGCCAAATGTACCTGCTAAATGTTAAACCACAGCTTCAGCTGGCTCTGGTTGCTCTAAACAACTACTTCTCGAAGCCTAACCACAAACATAATCTGAGATTGTATACCTGCTTGTTTCTAGTGCTTCCTACATATTTACTGCTACAATTTAAATTCTTACATGCTAAGGCATTCCATGCTAAAACATTTATTAATTCGGATTGCTTACCTTCTTCCACAAACCTCTGGCAAAAGGGGGACTTCCGGGGGAGATATGGTGAACTAAACATGTTTTTGAAAGAGCAGAGACAACGAATGTGGTGAAGACCAAAGAACTGGTGAGTAGACTGGTTCTTCAGAGCCTCCCCAGACAAGGAGAGGATGGGAAATCACCCATGTGTGCTCTGGATGGCTGCTCCTCTCAAGGAGACAGCAGGATAGCAGTCTCTTTTGGGATTTAGTGCCAGGAGATGAAGGGATCAGCCATCATGTTCACCACCACAGCAGAGCCTTTTAAAAGACACTGGGTTCACTAACCTCACTTTCTAATCACTTTTGGAAATGGCTTGTTTAACTACCTTAAGGCTATTAGAGATCTTTGGAACAATAAGTTTGAAAAGGAAGGAATATAAAGTTGGTTTTTTGACCAAGGTTAAAATAAGATATGTCTTTATAAAGCTCTGGCAACCCTTTACGGACTTTTTGCTGACACCCAGACTAAGAAATTGATGGTTTATGGATTTGCATATAGATAAGGGAGAGGTTATGGGAAGAAGAGATATTTGTTGGTAATCTTATAGGGGGCAAAGAGTTATCAAATTTGTTTATACTTGTGATGAAGATTGTACGTCACTTCTTTACATATTTCTTTTGTTTTTCTTTATCTTATTTTCTTTTTCTTTCTTTGCACTCTTTATTCTTTCTATTTCCTTTCTTTGAGTTTAGTTTGTATTTGTTTTTACTCTTGTAATTAAAATCTTTAATAAAAATTATTAAAAAAGAAAACTCAGGCAAAAGGAGTCCCAAACAGAAAGATGATATAAGTGACCTTCTATAAGTAGCTTGATGGACGTTATTGTCTTTTAATATTTCTACCCTCCAAGTGAATACTTACAATCCTGCAAATATTGCTAGATATACTCTATCACTTTGAACTTTAAATCCAAAATGAAGTCATTTCCCAAAGGAATCGGTTACTCACCATTGCTAGCAATGCAAAGGTTCTAGTTTCTGCCCAAGCTCTCTCCCTCAAATAAAAGCATTATTTCCATGGGACCCTGTTGTCCCAGTGTTTTTATGCTGAGGCTGTTTCATGTATGGCTCTAAATCCTCAGTTTAATGTCTGATTCAGATTCAGGTTTTGAACTTCCTTCAGTTCATTTGTAATAAACCACTATTTTTCTCACTTTCTTAATTTGGGGGTACCAATTTTTCTTTAACTGCCACAGTCCAGCCTTGCAGTTAGGTTGTAGTGTGCAGATAGGTATCTAAATGAGCATATTTGTAACCTTCTCTGGCACAAATGGGTGTTGAAAGATACGAGGATGCCATTTTATTTCTCATGAACAGCTGCTTTGGATCTTAAGCCCTCTGTCCTTTCTGGTAAGGTTATTTATTTACTTATACCCACTTTTTCTGAGAGAGTTCAAGCCAACATACGTGGGTATTCCCCAGCTTGTTCCCTGACAACAAACCTGCTAGGTAGGCAGACAGAATAACTGGTTCAGAGTCAATCACTAGGCTTCACCATCAAGCAAGGATTTAAACCAGTGTTTCTCAACTCTGGCAACTTTAAGACATATGGACTTCAACTCCCAGAATTCCCCAGCCAGCATGGCTGTGGGGGAATTCTGGGAGTTGAAGTTCACATGCATACTGAAAGCTGAGTCAAACCCTGTATAGTCACTCCATGGGCATATTTGCCCTAACGTATTTAGAATAATGGTCAATCCCACTTCATGCCATCAGTGCCTCTGTATGTTTCTCAGAGGCAGCATTTCTCAACCTTAGCAACTTTAAGATATGTGGACTTCAACTCCCACAATTCCATGCTGGCTGGGGAATTGTGGGAGTTGAAGTCCACATATCTTAAAGTTGCCAAAGTTGAGAAACACTGCTCTGAGATATCTTACAGGGAGGGATGCCAAAGGGCTCCTGAAAATACTCAAAAACAAGCTTGCATAGAACAAGAGCTTCTGGGTTGGTCCACCACATCCTTATTCCTACTTCTTTTAGCTCTATAATGCACCAATGGCTTGTTTGCCCAATAGTGTGTCAATAGTTATTCTAAGATTATGTATTTGCAGATAAATCAACATTGCATATAGAAACATTTACAGATACCATGTCAGTCATACCAAGGAGAGAGAAAGAAACTTATCAAGTAACTGCCTAATTTGTTTTATTGTGTATATATAGTCATGGTTATTGCTTTTATTTGCACGGTAAACCTGACCTGAGATAAATATTGCAAAGGGCAGTATGTAAATGCCTTCAACAGTGGGACAGCCACATCTAGGTTTTTGGGCCTTGCTTTTCTACCTCTGCAGCAGCCTCATCATGAGGACATTAAACAGGGCAGAATTTTCCTGGCATAGAAATCAACGGCAGGGAAAGGGGTTCCCTTCTTCATCTGTGTGATCACAGCTGCTAAAGACAACAGGAGGGTGTGGGCCAATTTAGGGGGAAAAAAGCAAAAATAAAAAGCCTATTTGCATGCGGTCTAATCCTGTATAGAACAAACTGAATAGAAACAGGACGGAACAACCATATGGCACAGATTGTGGGGAGCTCTGTTGAAGCCAAGCATATCTGTGTTTGATTAGTATCTTGATGGGAGAGAGAAGTTAGCTTCATGAATGTGCTGTTGTATCAAAAAGAGGATCAACACACTTTTTGGGGGTCAAGGCCCCTATTCTAGCAGATGCTGCCTGGCATGTAGAAAGTGAGTATCTGACACCTTCCCATCCAGACAAGCAAGAGGGGAGGAACAAGCTGTAATCCTAGACAGTGGAAGACATTAGGCCAGATAGCCCACCAAAACATGGGAGTCCTGCTGGAGGAAATGCTGACCAAGCTGTAAGTGAGCTACCAAGTAGCTCAGACCTGCAGCCCAGTCCTGGCCATACCGACATTCGTCTAGCCCCCTTTCCAAATGCATAGACTTGTCCTCTTCTTCAAGACCACCCCAGCTGTCTCGCTAAGCTCCACCCTTGAACAATATGACAGACAATGACATGGCACAGGAAGCCATGGTGAAAGTGGAAGGGCCCCAAATCAATTCCACATCAGGCCATCTGGGTTTCAGAATTGTTAATTATTTTGCTGACTGTATAGAACAAGCATAAAAAGAGAAAAACAATGACTTCAGCCTTCAAACAACCGCCTCCAACTATCTGTCTTGCAGTTGGACTCTCAGGGGCTATAATAGATCGTCCAGGGTTTCGAAAGGAGAGACAGAGACCATCCTTCAAATCATTGTGGAGAACTCTCACTTAGTGTGGGGCCGCTAAAAGGTGGCCAGATGCAAAGGAAACTGGGGTGAGGGGTGGCAGCAGCCAATATTTCACAACTGGATAGTAGACCGAATTCCAGCAGGTTCTGCTTTTTTTCTTCACGCACCCCTCTTTGCTTCAGGGCGTATTGTGTACAGCTCTGATCATCTTATTTCAAAAAGGATATTGCAGCAGAGCTGTAGAAGGTACAAAAATAAAAAGCAACCCCATCCTCAGTGGGGAGGGGTAACTTCCCCATTTGGGATGGGTTGTTTGAGAAGGAAAAATAATCAAATGAACTAGAAGAAGAGGCACATGTCTGTGTTTTGGTGACCCTCTGGAGCAGTGGTTTCCAAATGGTTTTGACTGTGCAACCTGATCAGTAAAACATTTTGAACATGTGCTCCCAATACATGTATGGTTCTTTATTTATACATTATATACATACATTGCTGTACTAATAAATTATGTACATTGTAAAACATTCTGTCTCTCAGATATTTTGTATCTTCTGTATATTAAGCATTAGTATATCTTTTTTAGATTAAAAAAATAAATAGAAATAGACATTCTTTCATCTGGCTTGTTTCTCCTTCGGTAGATGTTTCAACTCTAAATGGACCTTCTGCACACCTAATTTCTTCATCTAACAAGTGCATGAAAACTGGGCTCCAGATATTTACATCCACCCATTCTTTTACTTGAATACCTATTGGCTTACTTAATTTTGATCTTAATTGCGACATAAATAAAAAGTCTATTTTTAGATGGGTATAGTACAGAGTACCAACTATATGTCGTGATGTTTTAGCATACCACCTGCATTCAAGGAATTATATATTTTATATTAAAATTCATCATAAAAGAAATAGGGTGAGGGCTAGGGGAAAACGGTGAGAAAAGGACTAGCTTATTTAGGGTACAAATGACTAATAACAGAATGTTCCAAAAGATTTGTGAATTTGGATGAGAGATCTAAAGGGAGAGAAAAACTTTCTCCAGTTGAGTTTGATTCCTGATGACTACATGGACACATCATCTTGACAACAATATGGAAGCGGTTTGTCACTGTCTTTTTTTTAGAATTTCTCTAGTTTCCAACTCTAGTTGGCAGCCCTGGGATTTTCTGGTGGTTTCCCATCCAAGTCATTAGATCTATCCTTGTGTAGCTTCTCAAGATTCCTCAAGGACAGTTAGGTGGCAGAATACAAAAGAGAAAGAATGGCTTCATCTGAGGGATTGGAAGACCTGAGGGTGGGAGATTTGGATGAGCAAAGGTCTGAGATCTAGATACAGTATAAGACTGAAGAGATATGGAAGAGGCTAAGCCTTAACTATAGCTCACTGTTAGAATATATTTTTAAAACAGAAATCAAGGCCTTTTTAGGTAGGCCTGGAAAAACTTCTGCCTGAAAACCTGAGAGCAGCTTTCACGGTTACCAAGGGTCAGATACAAAACTTACCCTGGTATTGTGAAAACAAGGACAAAGAGCTTTTGGTCACTCTGGGAGCAGACAGAATGTTGGGATTTGAGGAGGAGCTCAAGAAGTGAAGTGAGTGTTCTTGACAATGAAATACGGAGCAGAGATAATAAATATAAATAGGCACTGTGTACACATGCAGAGGTGACAGCCTTTTAGCATCCATGCCTGTTACAGAGACAAGGTTTTCCCACAAGACAATCCTTTATGAAACAGCAACATTTGCTGTAATAATGGGAACCTGGCAGGGTCAGTCTTTTTCTCTTTGGCAAAGTGGAGTCTTCCCAGTCTTCAACAACTCAGAGTGAGGCTCAGTCAGTCAATTCTGCATGATTTCCAAGTCACCCATTGGCTACCACAGAAGATGGAATAAAATTCAGTGATTATAAGAACAGAAGTTAAACCCTGGGAATTTAGTCCTCAGTGGAAGTGTAGCAATTTCCTGGCCGTGTCCAGTCTGGAGGACAAATGAAGATCAGAGAACTTATCCATGGGGAGAACGGGGGGACAACTCCCCACAGGTTAGCGGCAGCAGTGGATTCTCTGGGCAAAGTTGTACATCACCCCTTTGTAGGCCTCAAGGAACTGGCGGTTCATGGCTGCATAAAGAACGGGGTTAATACAGCTGTTAAGCCATGTCAGATTGGCAGCAATCATGTGCAGTACAGTTGGAGCCCGGTTTTTGGCATCAAAGATATTGATGAGCAAAAAAGGGATATAGCAAACCACAAAGAAAATAAAAACCACAAAGCACATGCGGGTCACCCGGCGGAATTCTGAGTTGCTGTCCTTGGGTTTGCAGGGGGCCCTTTTCCTTGATGGGTCCGCAGGCTGCGCCACGGGAAGAGCTGAGCTGCTCTCCAGACCTGGGGGAATGCTGGTCTTGGATGTTGGCTCAGAGGGCAGAGCCTCGCAGGAATGCTGTGAAGCACCTGCACTGTCCACCCCGCTGTCCAGGTCATGGTACTGTCCCGGTATAGTTGAGTTGGTTCCAGCTACGTGAGCCCCCTTCAAGCTGGCCTTCTTCAGCTTGTATTGATTCAAGGCCTGGGCAGCACCCTTGACTTTGCGATGGATGAGGAAATAGAAGATGCCAACACAGCTCAGGCCCACAACAAAGTAGAAACCCAAGAGGATGGTGGTGTAGGGCCGTCCACGGATGCGATGGAAGCTGCAGGTACAGACTTTGGGGACCAAGACATAGACAGGCCACAAGGGGGCAAAACTGACAGTTGCAATAACCCAGGTCCCCAGAGCAATTAATATCACTCCCAGACGGGAGAAGATGCGGTCAAACAGGGCCGTATTGGCAATGAGTAGGTAGCGGCTCACTGCTATGAGACAGAGAGTCAAGATGGAGACTGAGTTGGAGACAAACAGCAGCATCCCAAAGACACGGCAGAAAGCAGCTCCCGACCTCCAGTAGAGATGGAGGTAGGAGTCCACGGAGAAGGGTTGCAAAAAGGTGCAGTACAGGATGTCGGCCAAAGTCAAGTTGACTATGAGCAGGTTGAAGCGTGTCTGCAGCTTGGTGTCAGAAGCATAGGCCAAGAGGGTTAACACATTGCCCACTGTGCCCACTATTGTCACCACAATGCCCCAAGTCACTGACACATAGCGGTAACCAACAATGGATGGGTCGTAGCAAGAGAAGTTGTCAGCAAGATTTTCCATCCTGGCAGGAAGTGGTCCCAACTAGGTCTCCCTCCAGTGGAAAGCTTGGAAGCTACCACAGCAGTATTGGTCCTAGAAGAAAGGAGAGACAGAAGGAATTAAACCAAAGTAAGCTCTGATTAACCATGATGTCAATAAAGGCATAAGGAATAACATTCAATATATAATATATACAATATATAACATTCAATATATAATTGGATTATTTGGCAGAGGAAATTATTAAAACCAATAGCATAAATCATTTTAAAATGGTAAATTCATGGAAGATAGAGGTCTAAAAATGGGTCTTGGCCACAATAACTGGGAACCAATCATCCATTCATAAACAATATATCTCTCATGATGGTATGTGGCTTACTCTGTTTCTAAAATTCCATTCTGTAAGTTTTATAAATAAAATTATCAGTTAGGGTACAATTGGAATAGATAGATATGAAGATAGATAGCTAGCTAGTTAACTCTGGAGTGGTAAGATGGCCATGTAAGATGGCCAGAAGACAGTCCTCTGTTAGACAGGGTGGTCAAGTCCACTCAGTTTAAATATATATTATGGAGTTAGTTATATCATGGAATACTGGGGAATATTTCATGGTATAACAGAATCAGTTCCAAACACTCTTTGCTCTTATGGGCTTCCTGCCTATGGATTATTGACATCAAGTCATTTCAGAGCTGCAGTCTGACATGTATCTCTATGGTGCTTGGAGAGAAAGGGCCTCCTGTCCCCTTTGGAATTTCCAATATGATGATCAAAAGAAGATTGGAAAGTGTTGGAGGCCAACAAACAACAAATATTCTATAAATGAAAAAAGGGTCTTTTTGCTAGCCTTCCCCAGTGGCCATACTACTTATTTTATGCACATGCACACACATGCACCCCAGTTCCTTTCAGGGAAGAGAGATAAAAGTTTTACCCCATTTCTTCTTCCTTAGACCTAATTGGGATATGGGCAAGGAAGCTGACTTCTCAAATTGTTCCTAACTGGCATCATCCTCTATCATGCTAGCTTCTTTTTTGAATTTGAGATAGGATGTGGGAGGGACCAGTAGTTATGGCCTAAAAGAACTTGAATTATACATTATGTCTTTGGAAAAGCCAAAATGGACTTATAAAGTTTCTGATGTTGTCAATCCTGAGTTTGGAGTGAAGATGGAGAATGTCCAAGGTCAATTATTATAACATCCCTTTCCCCAATTAGGTATCCCCTGGATGTGTGGAAATTACAAGTCCCAACCTGCATCATTTTGAGAGTTGCAATCCCATCACAGAGCAGGAATAGATTGGATAGTGTGGGTGATAGTGGTGAGTCTGTTGATTTTTGTTATTAACAGGTTACATCCATCCATCTTACATACACACTCACACACAATACACCCAGAGATACATACACACAAATATTCCACAGCATTGAAATACAGTAAGTATTGTTCCATGTTGAAAGTTCTAAATCAAACCATTATTAAGAATACAAGATGTAAAGACTAACTAAATATACCATCCAAGCTCTCGTTCAAGAAAGGGTTACTATTGCTGTAGAGTATCATCCCTGCATCTAAAAAACTAATAATTTCCATTTAAGAAACAAAACCTTTTAGTGCAATCTTCTCCAATCTGGCCCTTGAAGAGCAATATGTTGGAGATTCAAAAAAATGTCTTAACATACTGAAAAGTTTTCCTATACAATTCTATTAAGTTGATTGCCAACAAAATCTCAACCCTTTTGACAAATAGGACCCTTTTATACTACAGAGCTCTGGTGGGAAAATGTTCAGTTGAGACTGCCCTATCTTTCCTTTTCGTTTTATTTTCTTGTGACCTTTTTTGTCAATAGAGGCTTTTTTTTGGTCTATTGAATTCAATTTCCCAATAAACGGGATGTTTTTGAGAAAATCCAAACTATCCAAATTGTCAGTAAATGAATAATTAGTTTTACTTTCTTGAATGAAGAGCATCAGTCCATCTGACCATTTCCTATTGTGAAACAGCCCGGATAGTGCTCCACAAAAATGGTTTTCCCTCCTCCCCAAAAAGGCCTGACTGGGCAGAAGAAAAATACTGCACTTCCTTCACTCCAGTAGCTCAAAAGTCCTTCTTGCAACTTATTTTCTAGCAAGAGCTCTTTGGGAAGCAAATGGAGGTTGTCGAGTCAACCCCACTCTTTCAGCTGCTCTGCCATCGAGTTCTATGTTCTCCAGATTGCTGAACTTTTCTTTTCAACAGCCAGAACTTTCCCCCATGGCTAACACTGAGTCTAGGAGTGATGAGAATCATTAGAAAGACTCTTTCTGAGCATTTGAATGTGACACGGAGACCAATCTGGAATCCCGAAGGATCCCTCGGTATTTCTGCCATCTCCCCGCCCCTCCTTGTAAATATAACTCCTGAATACTTGAACAGGAAATAAGTAGATGAAGTGTTTTCTACAAGTTTCAGTTACAAGTTTCTGCATGTTAGGCCACTGCTTCAGCTACAGAAGCAGAGTCTGAAAAATTGTTGGCACATCTATCTATACATTGTTGACTGGATGCCAAACTGGACATGAATGGAGAACTTCAGCAAGTGCAGCTTGCTATGCACTTGCTGGAATTCCCTCTTTTATACAATATGGGGCAACGTAAGAACCTTTTGCCCATTTCCCCCTCAACTAGCTGTGAGGGTGGGGCATGTAATAAGGATAGCAGAAACCAGGACCAGCATGAATCTGTAGGCTGATACATTCCATGGCTGAATGGAAGCTGTTCCCATAGCATCTCCTCCTGCTTTTTTTCTAAAATCCCAGGCACGGTTGTTCACATTATTATTTTACTTTAACATGTACATTTTCTTTTCTAATACAAAATGGTGTTTATTCCCAAGCAACATTCATCAATGATCAACCAAAGCCACAATTAAGATTTATAATTATGGGATATAAAATTGTCTTACTGCATCTCAGATCTCCAACCAGTTTCATCCTGTTCCTGTATCTTAAGAACATATTGATCTCCAGAAATCAGCAGCCAGAAAGTTTACAGCAAGGAGTAAGTGTGACCTGGTAACATCTTCACTTCAAGCTGCCATAATATACTCAAGAGCTGAGGCTGATACATACTGTATATTCCCACAAACCTCCAGGATTCTATGCCTACTGAACCTCAGTAACTCCACCACATCCAGGAGGCACAGAGAGCAGCAAATAAATACACAAAATCAGAGGTACACTGACATTTTCTCATTTTAGTTTTCTCTTGAATATAACTTTCACTATATGAACTAAAGGAGAATGACTTACTGGGGAACGCAAGGAGCAGATGATTCCAAGTCAATGTTCAACGTCTGCTGCTCCCAGAATCTCCACCTTTTTATTTTTTGACACCCATATTTATAAAGGTTCCTCACAGGCTTGAATCAGGAGAAGAAAAGTCCCAGGTTTCCCAACTCCCTGAAGTAACTTCCTCTTCTGACGCCCTTAAACGCTTACTAGCTGGACTTACGTGCTCTTAGAGGACTTGCCCAGCCCTGGCACTGGTCTTCAGGAGCGCCTGCAGACTTGCCCTCTGCACTTAGCCTGAGTTTTAAACAAAGCTCAATAAAGATTAAACATTAACCCTAACTTGCCTGGGATGAAGAGGGCAAGAAATAGGGAGAGAGAAAGTGCTGCTTGCAGCCCAACCAATTTTGTTCACAAGGCCATCAAAGAAACGTGTTGATTTAGGCAGGATGTTACACCTTCTGAGCAAGAGGTAAATGAAAACTGAGGGGAGGACAAATCAGTGCTAATAATGATTTGCTATCTTATATATGCTCCTTTGTAATTCAGAGTTCCTCTTTCCATTCCTCAACCCCACAAGGGTATATATGTAGTTTCTGTATATTAAAATCCTTTCTGCAGTTGCCTACAGCTCTTTTAAAGTCATCAGCTTTATCAACATCCACGAACACCAACTAGCAGTCAGAAGACATGATGAAAACTCCTTAATCTCACAGCATATGGACAGATATAACCACAATTTTAACTGGGAAACTCTGCTGTACG